GACCCGGCCGTCCTGAAGATATAGACACCTCCTCCGCCGCGGCTGCTTTAGACTATTTCCGTCTTTCTCACAGACGGGCTGGGGCAGTCAGGGTGTAGTTATTTATAGGGTTTAGGAGGCAGGAACACGGTGACAATCAGAATTATTATAAATCGTGTTACAAAGTGAATGCTGGGTTTGATACAAATTTAGACCACATACACTGATAAAATCTCAAAATAACGTCATCTGTTTGTCAACACTATTTTTTTTATTAGTTGTAAACTTGTAGTTGTAAATGTGGACATGGGACGTACATACACATTTACAATATGCTAAAATTTGTATAAATAAACAATAACATATACTCATAATATGATAAGAATGTGCAGCGTATTCACATTTATTCCAAATTGTTTTTGTTTCCTGAATTTTATAACGATCGAAGTTCCATAAGTGTATCTCCGCATTTGAGTGTTTCAGACAGCAATCTTTCAGTCCTGGAGTGAGAGCTATATAATAATATATACATACAGACGATACAGTCGATAAAGTGGAAGTGTGAAATGCTCATGATCGAATGACTGCTTTTACGCGTATTCTGGGTAATGTTGGACAGTAGGAGCTGATTTATATGCTCAGGTAGGAGGGCGTACATCGTGCATGGTCCTGGTGCAGTGCAAACTCCACGACAGATGTCGCTCTCGCTCTCGCTCTGCGTAAGAAGGGCCCAGGAAGGGACCACAAAACCATAGGAGTTTCTGTTCTATTCTATTCCATTCTATTTCTGTGGAAGGGACCACTGATCTCTATTATACTAACTTAGTTAAGTAATATTCACAGAGAGTATAGCTAAGACATGTGTCTATAGGTATCTAGAATATATTATGCAAATTATCTCCCGTACCGGCTTGAATTCATATACATTGAGGTTATTGACGCACGATTAGTCAATATATTAGCAAATATATGCGTACCGTAATCTCCCGTACCGGCCTGAATATAGACACTCCCGCTTGCTTTAGACTATTCCGTCTCACAGACGGGCTGGGGCAGTCAGGGTGTAGTTATTTATAGGGTTTAGGAGGCAGGAACACGGTGACAATCAGAATTATTATAAATCGTGTTAACTAAGTTAGTATAATAGAGATCAGTAGAAGGGACACTGCATGCAGTTTGGGTGCAGTGATGCCCCCGGTGGATCCGCTAATACTCGGCCGACTCCGGTAGAGTGGGTTTGCCCGAGGTTTGCCGAATGTACACAATAATTATGCTCTGACGGTGCGGCCGTTCGCTCCTAGATGGGAGCTATGTTCTTTCTCTTTGCTGTCAGATGGCAAGCATGACGATAGAATGATGCCCATCTACAACTATGGATAATCGAGGCAACGACAACGTGGCCCAATCACAGTATAACAGCACACTAGAAAGGAAGCTCCATTGAGTTCGAGACTTCGAGTTCCTGTGCGTGTTGGCGAGAAACGGTTTTTGTATGAAGTATATTTCGTGGGACAGGATGAAGCTGGCTATTACTATAACCATTTTAATATTCGTGCTAGTCTTGCTCTTACTACCGGGCGAGTCTAAAGAAGCAGCTAAGGGTCCAAAAGTAACTGATAAGGTAATGCACGGCTGACTCGGAAAATATGAAAACTTATGATTAATGTCCAATATTACTATTAGTATTGCACGAAGGGTCGTTGTCGTAACAGGTACTACAGGGATATGTTACCCGAGTGGCCAGTTTTAGGTTTTCTTTAGTATGTTATGTTTATATTTTTAGTATGAGGTCATGTCGTTGAGGCGTTTAGGCGTGCTAGGGTTAGGAGTTAGGGTTAGGGTAGGGTTAGGTATGGTGCAGAATACACTTTATACGTCCAGTATGGGCGGCGCAGGTATGGGGGGCGCCCTAACCCTAACCCTTAACCCTAATTCTAACCTAAACCCTAACACACTGTTATTGTTAGGTTAGTGGTTAGGTTTAGGGTTAGGGTTTAGGGTTCGGCCGTTGGAATTGTAGGGTTAGGGTTAGGTTGAGGCGGCCGCCCATACCTGCGCCCGCCATACTGGACCTCATAAAGTGTATTTGGCACCATCATATGTACCTCGGGTACGCGTACATATCTCTGTCAGTACCTGTTACGACAACGAGGCCCGTGCGAGCATTAGTATTGGGCCGGCGGGCTGTTTGGGGCTCACGGTCCAGGTGGCTGCGCCCGCGGGGCCGGAGCCACCGCCTCTCCCTGCGACCTTAAGGAGGCGTTTTTCCGGCTTGCTACGATCCTTGTCGGAGAACCAATCGCTCTTCGTGAGGGCAACCACCGGGGCATCGATGACCTCTGTGACTGCCTGCACGAGTCTTTGCGCTGGTGCACGTTGTCCGGAACTCTTCGGTTTTTATTGCCACAGAGAGTTAGGCGTTTCTTAGCTTTAAGCGTCTTCGCCTCCGACCCGCAGGAGATCTTATCCATATCTGTGAGTTCTGGGTTCTTAGTATCTACGGCATCACTCCACTCTTACAGGGTTACACTAGTTGTTGATACTGTGCTATGACACCGTGACACGCATGATTGCCCGCAACGCGACAGCTCTTGCCTGCATTCGACGCGACGTGTGAGCTGCGGGACTGTGCCTATTCGTCGTCCTCGTAGTTGTTTTGTTAGTTGTGTTTTTGGTTGTTTTGTTGTTTGTTGGTCCTTCCTGCGCTTCTTCGGTTGGCGCGGGACCGCCCGGCTCCTGCCGGTTGCTCCCGGAGCGACCGTAGTGCGCCGGGCAACGGCAGAGCGGCCAGACAGGGCGCGAGAAGAGTAAGTGATGTGCGTGGCGGCCGATGCCGTCATCGCCGGTCTCATCAGGGTGTGTCGTGCCGTTGTGTGCCAGCCCGCACGCTCCCGGGGATTTTAGAGACGTGCCCCCACATTAACAGTTGACCGGTCGGAGCGGTGAGGCAATTGATTTATGGTTGGTTATTCACGAGGGACCGTGCCTTTTTGGCGGCATAATCCTTGCCTCTCGTCGATGGGTCGGGTGCTGTGTTGTCTTTCGTCTTCTGCCTAGGTAGAGGTGTGTTGTGAGAGAGCAGGGAATGCCTGGTTTATGTAGTGTGCTGTATGCGCGTCGAGAGAGATGTAGAGATAGACATGAGTGAGAGGAGGAGAGAGAGAGGTGTATCGAGAGCTAAAGAAGGGCCGCGGCGGCGAAGTCGGCTGTATTGCTTCTATACAATCGTTACGATTGACTTGTTATACAATGTTGTATCTACGTCGATTGTTATACAATGTTTAAAATTCACGATCTTTTTATAACAGTGTTACCACAGGATTCATTACGCGGGATGGGCACGCACGATCTGTGGGAGAGAGAGGGCGAGAGGAGCGATATCTATACAAGAATGCCAACGTGATATACAAATCACACGGATGAATGTGTTGCCATGAGGAATCTTGCGGTGATTAGTTAAGCCTCCGTTGATCCATGTTTTGCAGCTCCTTTGGGGTAGCTAGTATTACTGGGCTTGAACTTAAGAGGTGGGAGCGAGGACGGAGAATAGAGAGGAGGGAAGCGAAAGAAGAGAAGATGAGGAAGAGGGAGAGATGCGAGAGAAGAGAAGAGGAGAGGAAGCAGCAGAGAAAGACGGAGAGTAGAGAGAGAAGGAGAAGGGTGCACGGAAAGGGCAGGAGAGAACGACGGAGAGTGAATAATAGAACTGGAAGAAGTGCGAGAGAGAGAAACGTTGTTGAGGAGCGGAGAGAGAGAGAGAGAGAGAGAGAGGACTAAGAGAAGGAACTGAGGAGGAGAGCCAAGACGGAGAGAGGACGGACGCGAATAGAAGACTAGGGAGCGAGCAGGAGAAGAGGCAAATGACAGGAGGAAGAGAGGAGGAGAGGTGTGAAGAAAGAGAGCGTGGAGGAGAGCCGAAGAGTGAGAGAGGAAGAGAGAGCTGTTGGCAGAGACGTGAAAGGACGAGTGAGAGTTGAGCCGGGTCGGGAAGGCAAGGGGAGAGAGACGAGACCGAGTGAGAGACGGAGAGAGCAGAGCAGGAGTGAGCAGGGCCGTACCGAAGAGGACCGCGAGAGAAGTGCGGGGGGGGTAGCATCCTGAGAGGAGATGGAGGTCCAATGATGCTGTAAGAGGAAGAGAACGAGGGGGAGAGAGAGAGAGAGAGGAGAGGCTGGAGTCGAGTTACGAGATGGAGGGAACTGAGAGAGGTTACGGGAGGAAGAGAGAGAGAGAACAGCAAGAGAGTGAGAAGAGAGTGAGGAAGATTTAGGGAGAGATGTGACGAAGAATTAAAGGGGAGGAAGAGCGGACAGAGAGGGTTGACTGAAGCATGAAGAAGAGGATGAGAAAAGCGAAGCAGAGAGACTGAACAAGCAACGGCGAGTAGATGAGAGGAGTGGAGGAGAGACGAGAGGGGGAAGAGAGTACAGTTGCAAGTTTATATTGTATATTGATTACGTTGATGAGAGCGATCAGTCACAAGACGGTGCCCAGAGTTGCGCAAATCTTTGCGATAAGACGTGACCGCGCGTGAGAGAGAGATAGCAGAACGGGAGGTGAAAGTCGCACGGAGCAGATTCACTGGTGAGTGGTTGTCCGGGAGGATGAGGGTGAGGCCTGGAGAGAGGGAGGGGGACTAGAGAGCGAGATCGCAGAGGCGAGGACGCGCGGTAGGGGCCCGCGGGTCTGCCGGGGAGTAAACGGCAGGTAGCCACTGCGTTAATATTGAATCAATAGGTAATCAACTACTACTAGGTGTAGTTAGGTATGAATGTTCTAGGTGTGAATGTGGGAGGTACTTCTTCCCGTGGCACTGGCGGGTAAACAGCTATAATTTATAATCAAACTGCAAACTTTTTAACTGAAAATCTGAAACTTTTAAATCTGGGCCGGGGGAGGGGCTTTTACTCTCGTATTACTACTGTGCATGTTCATCTAACTCTGTAGAAGCAATGATCTTTTACTTTTGTATCTTTAAGAATGTGTGTTCCTTGAGGCGTAAGGTGCTGACTAGTGGGAACGCTAGGGTCGCCAGTGTCGTTACGTCTGGTTTACTCCTGCAGACTGCAAGAAAGTTATCATACGGGGCCGCCGAAGGCCAAGCCTTAGTTTAGAACACCCACAGATTAGTGGAGAAAGCGAGGAGGTCACCATCAGTTATGGGTGGTAGACTTGGGGTAATTTCGATTTAATTAGCAGTATTTTCCCTGCTCTTGCAGGGTAATATTTCGATATCAAAATAGGGAGAAGATGAGGACTGGTAGCCGGATGTAATTGGGTCCTATTTGGGGTCAAGAGCGTTCGAAATAGACGGTCAAGAATTTCATGAGTTGCTAAGAGACATGAACAAAAAGTGAGAGGGGAAGGTGTGGGGGTTAGGTAGTAGTTAATGAGAATATGAATCAGAAGAAATGCATTTCAGTTATACAAGGTCTTGAACTGTAGCGCCGTCATAGTGCTTCGGGCGGAGCTTACTCACCGATCAGTGTCAGGTTCAACGTGTGGAACCAACCAGCAGAACGCCGGGAGGGAGAGGGGAGCGTATCTGGGAGGAGGCGGCAGAGGAGGACGAAGGTGAAAGAGAGCCCGCGATCCGAGTGCCATCCGTGAAGAATGTCGCGACTGTGACGCTCCATGCCGCTAGCCGGACGAGACGATGGATCCGCGCTATCGCTGCCTGTCCCGCAGCATCCACCCCGATTTGGTACCTACCGCTCACCCGACGCTCTGAACCTGATCAACCCGATGGCTGCGCACCCTGCCGCATGAATACTAAGACGAGGGGACAAAGGAGAGGAGAGAAGACCCAGGCAAGGAGAGAGAGAGATTTAAAGGATTTAGAAAGAGGGAGGGGAAGAGGCAGAGAGAGAGAGAAGAGAGGAGACGGACGACGCGAGCGACCAACACGCCTTACCCAGCAGTATACTCCCTTCCTCTCCCACTGTCCCCTTCCGCCGACGTCCACATACGTACCCTATCCGGCACACAGCGGTGTCACCTACTGCCACAACTTCTCGTCCCGTCTTACTCTCCCCTCCTCCCCCATCCATCTCATCAGGATCCTCACACGGCACTTGCACTTCCACAGCTGCCGTAACCACGAGAGCGGTCCTAAGGAGGTGGAGCACCACTGGCCTAGTGCTGACGCCTCCCGACCGAGATCGTGTGTTCACGTGGCTCAACGCAGAATCGCCAGGCCGTGCGTCAGCCACCAGATTCATGTTCATAACCTGCACAACCCTACGATCAGCCTCAACCCGTAGCGGGCGAGAGGAGAAGAGCGGGGGAGACTGGGAGACCCGCGGGGAGGAGAGAAGAGCTGAGTAGTGAAAACAGACGACCGATTCGCAGGTCACTGGCGCACATAGGACTTAGGCTGAAACG